CCCCCGCCGGCGCCCTCCAGCCCCCCCCCGCTCGCTGCCCCCCCACTCTGTTCCCTGTTTAGTATGGCTTTGCATCAGGAGAATGGACTACGCCTGCATTGTCTACCTCAGAAAATCAATGTCACTCACTCCACAGATCAATAGGTACAATGGAATCACAATCACATTCCCTTCAAATTACATTATTGGATTTAGAATTTTGTTTTTTTTTGCTAAATAATTTGATAAATTATTTCAAGACTTTCTATGGAAACATTTAAAAAAAAGGGGATTTTTTTCCATATCAGTAATTGTATGTGTGTCCGTACTACGATAGTGTGTGATGTCAGATATTTGGTAACTGCCTTATACTGCATGGGTCCTATGATAATCCCAGCTCTGCTTTCAGTGATTGTTCTGTGACTGTAACTGACACTGGGCTCAGTGTTCCTCCTGGTCCTGGTCCTGGTCCTGGTCCTGGTCCTGGTCCTGGTCCTGGTCCTGGTCCTCTCTGACTATGGTGCTTTGCATTTTTTGTTGCTCTCTGTGTTTGAAGTGCACGTTTGCATCTGTGACCCTGACTCTGCAAATCGGGTCACATCATCTCCTGACCAATCAGATTGTCGACCACTTTTTCTCCATGGACCAATCACAGCTCAGCCTGCTTGAATATGAAAACAGTCCTTTTTGTCCATCATGTTTCTCTGTCTCTGTCCTCTACGCCTCACTACCAGATGTGCACATGTATGAGTGTGTGTGTGTGTGTGTGTGTGTGTTGCTACAAACACACCTGAATGTTACATCAAGGGACTGGAACAAAATATATTCATGTAGAATCTAAACTCAACCAAAACGTTTCTTGGATCAATCATTGATGACAATAGAACAGAGCTCTGCTGCTGGTGATGCCGTACACCTCCAACAACATTGTGCCAAAATTCTAGACTTGTGCCTCATTTTGACCCACGGGTCACCAGTTGAAATACTTTCCAGTGTAGACATCTAAAATGTTGTTCTGACAACAGCCAATCACCTGGCTCCTTCATCTCTGGATTCTTTGAGGTCATAACATATGTTAATATATTTAGTCTGTTCACATGGAAATGTCCCAGTCACTCAGTCCGACCCTTTGATCAGAACATCCTGTGGATATGAAGCTGACCATCGCGTCCATGTCCCAGATCGAGCATGACTGCTGTGTTTGTGTGAATTTCTGCTTCCACTTTATCCACTCTGTGTGCTATGCAACTATAAACTGCAGTCATTAAGTGAGATTGAAGGGTGGGAGGGATGGGGGAGGGGGGGAGAGTAATGATTGGAGTGTGTGCCTCCGCCAAAGGTTGACGTGCGATGGTACCAAATGTCCACTGGGAGGAAATGTAATCAGCAGAATGACCTGATTGGTCAGATAGTAGGACGTGCGGTCGGTGACGGTTTGACGGTCGTCTGTTCAGCCTCGTTACAGCGTCAGTAGGAAACTGTCTGTTGTTACAACTGTTACCCGCTGTTGTTACAGTCGACGACAAAAAGAAATGATCATTTAAAAAAAACAAAAGAACTACCGTGTGTGAAGTGTCGCTTATGTTTCAGATGTGTTAAAGTAAAGGCTCTTTATTTGGATGCTGATGCTGATGCTGTAACTGCTGCTGCTGTAACTGCTGCTGATGCTGTTACTGCTGCTGCTGTTACTGCTGCTGATGCTGTTACTGCTGCTGCTGTTACTGCTGCTGATGCTGTTACTGCTGCTGCTGTAACTGCTGCTGCTGCTGTAACTGCTGCTGATGCTGTTACTGCTGCTGCTGTAACTGCTGCTGATGCTGTAACTGCTGCTGCTGTCACTGCTGCTGATGCTGTAACTGCTGCTGATGCTGTAACTGCTGCTGATGCTGTAACTGCTGCTGCTGCTGTTGCTGCTGAGTGTGTCTCGTCTATGAGGAAGAGCATGTGTATGATGGCCACACTGCCTAGAAAGAGAGAGAGAGAGTGGGGTGGGGGGGGGGGGGGGAGAAAAGGGGGGAGTGGGGGAGGTTGAGGGGGAGAACAATCCTGAAGGTTCTGAGGCCAAGAGGAGGATTTGCTGTAATCAGCAGACGCACATTCGTTCATGTCCACGATGAGAATGTGAAAGAGCCTTTCTCCCTCAGAAGTGTCTTAAAGTGTGTGTGTGTGTGTGTGTGTGTGTCCTGTCTCACTTCACTGTAGTCAAGTGGCCTGCCTGAGGTTTTTGTGTACATTTGTGTGTGTGTGAGTGTGTGTGTGTTTATGTGTATGCACTAATAAAACATATCTGTGTACAGTCCCTCGTGGCCAAATGTATATATTGAATGTATTGTGTGGGACATGGAGGTTCAATAGAAATAAAGCTGTTTATGAGTCAAACCTCTGCGTTCACACACACGTGTGTGTGTGTGTGTGTGTGTGTCAGCGTTTCACACAGATTCACTGGAGGAAAAACTAAAACAAAGTAGTTGTTGAAAAAAGACAAGACGGACATCCTCCCTGTCCCGTCATCTCCGTCCGTTACCATGGTTAAGCCTCTGAAGAGCGCCCCCTGGTGACAGCGGAGCTATCATCAGGGCGGTTGTTCTGTATCGATCCTCTTTGAAGCAGACTGGTCACAAATGTTGGAGTCAGCGGTGTCAGCAGCAGCTTCTGGTTCCAGAACCTTCCCTTCTTGATGTTACAGTGGAAACCACTGCAGAGTGAGTGATTCTAACTGGACACACACACACACACACGACGCCTGACATTTGAAGTCGGACTTTGCCTCAAGTAAAACCGAAGAATATTTGTTGATCCAACAGGAGAGAGAGAAAAATCGAATCAATTTTCATTCAAATCCATTCAAATTTGCTTAAAATATGTTCAGAAAACTTCCTTTTTTGCAGCATCCTGATTTTTTAGACTGGACTTTTGTCAAAGAAAAGATGAAATAAAATTATTAATCTGTCACAACTCACTTCTCACTGTGGCAGAGCTGTATTTATTATCATTTTGGAACCACTACCTCAGGAGTTCTAGCTAACATCAAATGTCATTTGAAATAATAACATCCCTAACAATTTGAAGTGGGATTTTTCCACTGTTTGAATTTACAGAACAGACAGTGAGGGGCCGCACGGTGGATCACTGGTAAGTCCTCCAACCTTACAGCATTTTGAACATTTTTCTTTTTCACAAGAAAAAAACAGACTAAAGTGTACCATAACCTGAGCAGAGCGTCTCTGCAGCTGAACGTTCTGTCGAAGAGCAGTTTGGACTTTTACTTCAGTCGAACAGTTTTCACGTCTTGTTGAAAACTGACGTCTGTTAAAGGAGACTCGGATGAAAACCGTCTTTAAAGACTTTCCGTGTGTTTGATGGAACGACCACCGCTCCAAACTGTTGAACTTTGTTTTCACAGATCTGACTGATTCTGACAGCTACAGGCCCACGCATGCAGATTTAAAAATAGCTGCACAAATACATTTACGGGGGGGGGCTCAGTTCTGCTTTGTTGGAGAAGATCAGTGAGTCCACGTGTCATTTCAGATTTGGGAGCTGTTTTCTCTCATCTTACCAGACTCAATCAAATCCCTCACTTCAAACACAGACTCAAGTCTCACTTTTCTCTTCCTGCTCCCTCTCTGCCCTCAGTCTTTTCCTCCAGGATCTGTGCGGCTCCTGCTGGCGTGGATCTCCTTCTGAGGAGCTCCGTGAAGGGGTTAAAGCACCTGGGATAAAAATGCATCAAAGAAGGTTTTGTGAAAAAAAAGAAAAGCTGGAAAGGAAGTGGGAAGAATAAAACTGCGGCTTAAGAGCCAAGGATTGGCCACAGAAGTGGAGGGGAATGGGCCGCTGTCCATCAGGAGCTCATTTCATATTCTGTTCAGTCACGAGCACGACACAAAACAATCTCAGGCTGCAGACGTGTGTCAGAAACACCCAGGAATAAAGAACCTTTTTACCAGACGGACAAAAGCCCCCGGTTCACATCATCATCCACACCTCCTGTCTGTCGGCGACACATTTCACCCTGAGAGGATCCTGTAGGTATTGTTCCTCCGTTTGAAAAGATCTGGCACTGATGAATTCTATTTGCCATTTTCCATTGTTCCCAAAGACATGGTGCAGAATCCCAGTCATTACCTGAATCCTAGGTCATTGTGGCAGTAATTGGGCAGAGTGGGGGCCTGATTCCACACACACACACACACACACACACACACACACACACACACACACAGGGAAGATGACGTTTATATCTCAGCCTTCCCCCCTTTAGGGGGCTGGGGGGTAGTGGTGATGGTGGTGGTGGTGGTGGGGGGGGTCTTCTCTCTTCCTTCTTCCTGGCTGCTCATCTCTAACATCCTTTTTCCCCCAGTACATTCACTTTGTCTCAGCACGTGTCCAAACTTGCCTCACTAACTTTATTCCCAGACTCCTCCATTTTTAAATCATGATAATCCAGGTCACACCCTATTTCAGTGGTTCCCAATGTGGAGGGCAGGCCCCCCTTAGGGGACAGAGAACCACTGCAGGAGAGCCTTGGCAGGAAGACAATGATTTCATATTTTCGCTGCTGTAATTCAACACATGGTTCCTGTCGTCTACGTGTCATATGGGTGGTGGTCCACAGGGGGCACTGAGAACAAGGTTAGTTCTGCAGACTTCTCTTCTACAGCTCCTGTGACACAGTTTCAGACACAGTAAAGCGTCTCCATGACAACCTCAGCTTGTGATTTCCTACAGTAAGCTGCGGTTAAGAAGACTGACTCGTTAAGGTGTTAAATACTTCCATCAAATATATCAACCATTTCTTTGGCTGCGTTTAAATGTAGGTTGTTTTTTAATGAAAACTGATTTTGGAGTTGTTTTTGTTGAATCTGTGACGTGGTTTTCTTGGGCTTTTTTTTATTTTCTTAAGTGGCCTTGAAGGCAGCTGAAGGCAGAAGCTTCCACACAACTGTGAGTGTGTGCAATAAAAAATGGTAATGGACCAGACAAAAAGAACTGTTTGGCTGCTGCACTCAGACCAATCCACTGATTGAACTGCCACAGCCACACGTGCAGCAATAAAACTCAGCAGGGCAATTACTGTAGATGGAGAACAGTAGCAGAGGAGGGGGCAGGGGCAAAGTCTCCTCTTCAAAATTACCACGAGAGACAATGAGACAAAGTACAGCCTTCCATCTGTAGTAGTGGTGATGGGGGAGAACAAATAAAGGGCTGAGTGTCTGTGAGGACAGAAACCAGTTTGGTTTTGTGAAATTCTTTTTTTTTTTATATCTAAGAAACTTTTCCTCCTTATTGTAACGATGATTCGTGAAGAACAGAATTCACACCGTCACAACTTTACAGTCAGCTCTTCACTAACCAACTACTGATCTCACATCTTAGAAGGAAAAGGCAACGACACCTTTGTGTCGAAAGGACAGGCTGGCTGGAAACAAGCTCCTACATTGCCATCTAGTGTCCGCAAGTAAGAATTGCATGTGAATTCGGGCATCTGCAGCCGGCGTTAAACTTTTTAGAAATAAATGAAAGATGGATCAGATGAGATGAACATTCTTTTATTATATGTCACGTCACACTAATAGTAAAGAACACCTACCACCTTCAGTCTACTTGTAGATGTTTGAACACATTATGTATCATTGTTGGAGCAGCATCATGACAAGTCGTCTGTCTGTCCCACCGCAACTTCCGTCCAATCAGGTGTGGCCTCAGAGTCCCAGGCCTCCAGCAAATATGAGCTCCAGGGCTGCCTGGATGTCACCATCTGTGGCCTGCAGCGCCCTCAGCATCAGCTCCTCATCCTGGATGCCCATGTCCCTGAGCTGCTGCATCTGGGACTGCCAACGGCCCTGGCAACACAAAACACCAGCTCAGAATAATCAGGTCGTCTGAGGATCAGTCCCAGGCTCTGTCTTTGTTTTAACAACTGCAGTGCAGAAATTATCACATACCGTATTATTGGATCCTCACATTTCGTTATAATGTTTTGCAATTTCATTTGGAAGCAAATTGCTGCGTGAAGCAGTTCGATGTCTCACCTGCAGAGCAGACATGTTGGTGGCCTGCAGAGCTTGTTGTAAGGCCTGGCTGAAGAGATCGTTACTGACCGGGGTCCCTGCTGACATGGGGGCCGCCCCAGAGGGATCCACCTACATTACACACAGATGTAGAATAAAAACATACACATTACTGTTTGAGAAGTGGCAGGCTTCATGGAATTCATCTGAATAAAAAAAAATCCAAACATATCTCATACATAGTTTTATAACCTTTGAACCTCATTCATGTTACTAATAGTTAACTAACAGTTGAGCATTCTATAATACACCTCTCCTCCATGACTGACCTGACTTGTTGTTGTGGGAGTGACGGCGCTGCTGTCAGGAGTGCTGGCGAGGGCCAACGCTGTCGCCAGCTCACTCTGTGTTATGGGTCGAGGACCCGTTGCTCCGCTGTGGCTCAAAGACACCGGGCGGATCCCTGACGGCGGCCCTCTGCTGGAGGGTCCTGCTGGACTTCCCTGTGTCAAACATTTAAATACACATCAAGGATGGAAACAGTTTGACCTTTACCCACATATCATATAAAAAAATAACCAGCACCGACAGGGAACTCACCGACTGGAAATCATCCTCATCGTCAGACATGCCCTCGAACATGAACCCTCCTAACAGACGGAAATTAAGAAATGAAATGTTAACACAGGGAGGAAAATTCATAAAAAATAGCATAGAACAAATGAGATCAAAAAACCCTAACAATTTTAACAAGAAACTATTTTTTTTCATTAGCAGATTTCCAGAAACTACTACAGCACTTCACATGTACGTATTACCAAACAATCCAACCATGTTTGCTGTCATTACCAGGCATGTCACTGTAGGAGCTGGAGGAGACGTTGCGAGAGGAGCTGGCACTGGACTGTGATGGCATGCTGCCTGCTACTGAGTGCAGCACCAAGATGATGGCATTGACCAGCGCTGGATGTGAGCTGGATAATCTACGTGGAGGAAAGACACAGGAACGTTTAAATTATCACCAAAAAGAAACTGGATCAGAGAACAACGCAGTACTCACACATCCAGCATGTTTGGGTCTGTAAACTGCACAAACAGATCCTTATCTTGAAGCACACCTTAATGGGAAATGTTGTTATCGTTAGTATTTTATTTGCGTGGACAATTTTCCTACATGGCCTTGTGGCCTTTTATTTGCGTGGACAATTTTCCTACATGTAGCAGGTCTTACCTAAGGCCACTGGGTCTGACTTCAGTCCTGGTGTAGCTATAATGATCTGATCAAGTGATTCTTTATTTGTCAGCAATTTGTAGACCTGTGTTAAAAACAGAACAGAGTGACGGTCGTCCACAGCAGAGAGACACTTTGATCCCATTTCAGTTTCATTTGTCTTTTACTCACAGAGTCTCTGTAGGAGGAGTTGAGGGAGTGAAGAGCAGCATGAAACACTCGAAACTCTCTTGCTGCGTTTGCTTTATTTACAGGCTCTGAAAAAACAACAACAAATTATATTTGAATCTAGTAATTCAGTGTCAACAACACATCCCACCCACAAACCTGGGCTGCTCTCTGGTTCTGGCCAAGCCTTTTTTAAAATGTGTAAAGTGGATCCCGGATGAATCCCGCAGGCGTCCAGAGTGAGGTCATCTTTAAGTTTTCTTCCACAGTGGACAATATCTGGAACACAAGGAGAACAAAGGTCTTTCCACGTACTTGACCTGCAGCCCATTAATATAAAACCAAAAGGAGTCTCAGACCTATAAGTTCAGGGTCAGGGATAGATTCAGACAACTGAGCTGCAACAAGTTGTTTTAAGGCAGCGACTCTGTATCCTCCAGGTGGAACGTCCCCCGGCATCATCTCAGGGAAGTAGAAGATGGATTTAGGTTGATCCATCAGCTTTAACGACAGATGCCAGTCTGAGGAAGCCATTTCTGTAACACGACAAACACATGACACAGCTCTAATATGGGAGTCAGTAGACAGTGTTTGGAGGCTCGTGGTGATGGTTTAAAAATGTACCATGGACTTCGTTGATGAGTCCAAAAATAGTTAAACTTTGTCCAGTTGCCCTCGATGTAACTATTTTTGGATTAAATGCCTGAGAACCTACATAGATCCGTTGATGAGTCTTACGTTTCATTTACTTTTATTAACATTTAACATAGTATTATCAAGATGTATGTTTTTAAGGATGGTTTTTAAATGTCTTTTATGCTGCAACAGTGTTGGGTAAATTCAAATTTGACATTTATTTTTTTTAGAAATAAATGCGAAACCAACAGTCGTTCTTTTCTTAAAGTGTTATATAGGCTTCGTTAACAGCGTTTTATAAACTGCGAGTGACAACAATCTTTATAAACATGTAAACATTAAAACAAACCTAGTAATATTATTACACAGACCAAATAACTGCATACTCACCCCTTTGTTGTTACCACGAAATTCACTTCCTGCTTTGAGTCACGTGGCACGTTACGTTTACTGCCCGGCGTCAAAATAAAAATGAATAATAATACTTGCTTTATTCGGTTATTTTACATTTGTAACTTTGAAAATCAATAAATTAAAATCACACCGTGGAAATAAAATATGCATGAGAAAATAAGTGAATAAGCTAAATATAATTTCTAACATCCGTTTTTCAAAATAAAACTTATTAAGGCTAAAATACAGTATCTGGTTATCATTTCAAAACATGCGGTGTGTTCCATACATTTGGCAGGTTTTATTTTTATTATTTTTATAAACCCAGTCATTTTAATATTGACAAAACTGTAGTAAGTGAATGAGAACGTTTGTTTAAAAACCAATGTATAGACGCAGGAAGTCCAGGAAGTATAACGGAAGTGGTATTAAGCCTTGACGTGACGACACAGGTGTTCGAATCAAGGCGTTGTTTTTCTGATTCTACTGAGTCCATTTTTATACATTTGCACCTCGACAAGAGAAACAACACTTATTGCAATTTGGAAGTATTAAAATAAAGGGTTATTTAAGACTTAGCATTTTTTATAGTGAGCTCCCGGTTTTCTATTTCGTTTTTTAAATAATTTGTGTATTTATAGTTTTTGGCCGTGTGAGCCTCACAGTTTACACTAATCTTCACAAATATTCATGCATTTTTTTCCATTAAAGTTATATATGCTCATGTGTGAACTCCATTGTAGAAATAAGTATTTTGTATTTGCTTTAGATAAAACCATATTTACTCCGATTGTATTTGTATTTCATTTAATTTAAGTTAAAACAGACGATTTGACCTAAATAACAGAAAAAACAAAACGCCGTATTTGTTGTAAATTCTTTTGCACTCTTCAAACTTAGTTCACTTTCTTTGGCTTATAACTAAAACGTGTAAAGGTGTTAACCAGACCCGGGTGTTTCACTAAACGGTTAACTGAGGGGTCGGAGCCCGATGATGTTGGAGACTGTTCCCCCTCTGTGTGACATCACTGCTGGACAAAGCAGTAAGGAGTGGTTTCCATGAAGAGTCCCAAATCAATGGACCAAACCCACACACTCTGAAAAAACCATCACAGCACTTTTATACGACGCCTAAAAACGGTTTTTGAGTCGCTACCAGAGGAGGAATGAACTGCTGTGGAAGATAACGTCGTCGGTTCTGCTTTGCTCTGCTGGACGGACACAAACAAAGTCAACGCCGGGGGAGTGTCGGTGGTTTTTTTAAAGCTTCGTCCTCCTGACATGGTAAGAACAAACGAACACAGTCTGTTGAAAACGAGGGACGGATGTTGTGCTTATGTTTGGGCGAAGGAAACAAAGGCAGAGCAAACGCTGTGGAGCAGGGGAAGCCTATGAACTCAAGAAGTTATCCGCATACTTGGCTCGGTTCCGTCTGACCCAGTCGACCGTTCTCTGACTGGACGTAAACGCCCATCAAACACACACACACACACGGACACAGCTTTACAGTAAACTGTTTACATACATGCGTTGCATTGTTTCACTGATCCAACAAATAAGTTTTGAATTAAATCTACTGCGCCCCCGTTCGGCCAAGATAAAACACTGCATCACTGTATTTAATCAGTGGGAAAGCAACTGACTTGAAAACACGGGCATAAAAATGTCTAAAGTCTTATTTACTGTCAAATGGCAGATGTAACCCACACCCTCTAACTGACGTGGTGAATTAAAAGAAGAATAAGAATAAAGAAGAACCACCGGTCTGTATCACAGTGTCTGTATCATTAAGAAAGTGCCAACATCAGCTGAATATTCTCCTGACCACCAGAATTAAATTACTTTTTGGTCATTTCTAAATCACATTACATGTAGAATAAATATACTAACATCTTTCACTGTTCATGACTGTGAACTATTATAACCTTTGATGAAATGGAGCGCAAAATTAAAATTTTAATGATCCAATATACTGTAGTAAATAATATATGTGAAATATATGTAAAAGAAAAACAAACTTAAAACTCATCTTTATTTGTCATTGTGACACGGCACAGCACAGCACACCATGCACAACGAAATTTGTGAAAAAAGTGAACAGTGGGCAGCGCTTGCTCAGTGCATCTCAGTGGCAACCTGGCAGTTGGTGGATTCGAACCTGGGGCCTTCCGGACCGAGGTCCGCTTCCTTTACCACTAGGCCACCACCACCACAATTGTATCAGCCAGGCCTGGATTTGAACTTGCGCTCCTGGGACCAAGGTCCGAGGACTTATCCTCTGGGCTATATTGCCATATAACTTATTGTAGTAATAAGTTATAATCTTAGACTGTCATACTGTTTTTGAAGTGTTATATTTCTTAAATTACTCATCATTTAAAACATTATTCAAGCAAACGTAATCAAGTTACTGAACTGTTAAATGAAGTTCTAATTTAACTTTACGTGGGATAAAGTGGAGCTCCATGCTCTCTTTTGTATACACACTGTACCAACATGACCGACATGACCAAGACTGAGATTTGTCTAACATGTTATGAAGCCACATGGTGAAGAAATGCTATGCTATGCTGCTAGCAGGTTTCTCCTACTGTCATGCTGCTCTATCACAGGATGCTGCAGCTGTGCTCTGATGACAGCTTCCTGTAAGTTGAAGTGTTTCAAACCATGACAACAAGTAGAGGAACTGGTCCTTGATTCTACAGAGAGATCATTATAACAGTAGACATTGTGTTAGCTGCTGTTTCTGCCTGTTGGTGATGTTAGTGGGTTTATTCTAGTATTACTATTGAATGACACATCCACCTGACCAAAGATGAAGGTTATAATAACCAAGTGGATGATGTGGCCTCTTATATTGTTGGTCCATCTCAATTCTATTTCATACCGGTCACTGACTCACTGGTCTGTTATCTAGCTGATGAAGTTAGCTGGACAGGCTGCTGCAGGTGAAGCACGGCTGCCAGTAAACTGTAATTTAGAGTTCCCACTAATAAAAGTGGGCAAGTACAACTGTCATAAAACTTATCAGCCTTAAAGCTTTCATAAAACTGATGGAGCTCCTCCTTCCTCAGTTTGTCAAACTAATGTACTGTTTGACAAACTAATGTACTAATTGATATGAGTACAGGTTTCCTCACACCCGAGTGACGGGTCAGTTCTAACCACGGCTGCCATAAGGATTTAAAAGCTGACCCTCTGGAGCTGGTGGCGTACAGGTTGGAAATGTGCCCATCATCAAGGCTTGAATGGTTCCTAATGAGTTGAAGAGGACGGCAGTGAAGCTGAGCATATGGCACTGGGATAGTCCAGCTCAGAAGGTCAATCAGATTCATTACATTTAAAGTGCTTAAAAGCAGCCTTGCATTTCAGAAAAACAACTTGCAGTGCTTTATGATGATGTTGAGACAGAGATGAACCGGCTGAGCGGACTCTCTGAAACAAAGACATCGAGGCTTCGAGAAGTCATTATTATTTTGATCAACCGCCCGTTTTCCTCGTCTTCGTTCTAGGAATCAGAAATCTGAATAAGAACTGCTGTGACAGGAGTTCCTCTGTTCTCGTTCAGTGATGGACAACTTTGTTCCTTCTTTTTAAATCTAAAAACCTCTACAGTAGAGGATTATTCATTTTCACATCAGCCAAAAGAACAAATGATAAAAAAAGAAATGAACTTAGCAGCCTATCAACTCCAAACGTTTCTAAACCTTTCAGATTTATTGAATGCTTCATCCTCGTCTTCACACTCACCATCAGCGTCTGTTTTTGTTTGTATAGTATTTTCATTTCATTTCATTTCATTTCATTTCATTTCGTTTGATTACCATTAAATCTGAAGCTTAAATTCTGGAGTATATCTTTGTCCTACGGTTTCTTTTTGTCTCCGAGGAAATCGTTACAGTTTAGTGGTGGCGTTTCTGTTGTAGATGATATTAGATAGATTATACATGACATTATGCCTATTTTGACATATCCAAAGTTGCTTTGGATATAAAGTGGCATAACTGCCAAAACATGACAAATGTGCAGCTTAAGGTCTAGAATACGGTGAAATAATAAAGAAAGCAGACTAATATTGGTGTTGGTTGGTGAGGCAGTTCAAAGAGCCTGACGATGACTTCTTGTCTGGTTTGTGGAGGATACAGACAGTCAGACTGTGGTTTGGTGCGCTGCCACAGTTCACTTAGGAAAAACACAGGGAAAGATTTCATTTGAGATTTTGGAAAACTGCGTGGAGTTCTGGACGCCTGAAACAACCAGACAGCTTTAGCAGTCACAGCGTCTGGCAGACGGAAGCCTCTAGAACGAAGGTCCAGAGAGTGAGTCGAGTGGTCGAGCAGCAGATCTGTTCAGCAGTTTTGTGATGAAGTTGCAGTCCTGCCCACATCCTCCCTGCTGAAGCTATAAATGGAGTCTCCTGGAAAAAGCTTTAGTTGAGTCATGAGACCGAGCTACAGCTGACAGCATTATCAAAATGACTCATTTTTGTGTTGCTGAAACATCATGTCTGATCTGTTTTCTCGGAACAGGCATTTATTTCCACTTGGTAGCACAACTTTTTCAGCTTTTATCTACTCCTCCATGTTCAAACCAGAGGTTTTGTTTTTTTCTTTACATCTTGGAGTTTTAATCAGGATATCTTTGTTAAAAATCTGAACAATGTTTGCCGGTGAAAAGACTGGAATCCTTTTCTCCATGTAGGTTAAGTCCAAATACTAATCAGGACATGTTAGCATGTCATTAGTTCACCTCCCTGTTTAACAGCTACAGTGTGTTTCTATGGGAGAAGACTTCAGAGATCAGAGACCATCCTGTTAGTCTTTGAAGCCTCTGTTGATGATTAGTTTGCTTACTGCTGGGTTTAATTTCGGGGACCCCAAAGCACGCTCAGACACACACACACACACACACACACACTGCCGATGACAGGCAGTCTGAACAATCTGATTGTTGACACACTGTAGTGTTTTTAGAATGGATGATGAAGCTAACGTGTGTCTTCCTTCTCTCTTCCTCTCTTTGTTTCCATCTTTCTCTTTTCCTTTGGTTCAAGACTTGTTCAGTGTGTAGTAAGAGCTCCATGTTACACTTAAAATAATAGTTATGTTTTATTTTTTATTATTTTATTTTTAAAACCTTTTGTCAAATCACCATGAGGTCAGACACATCCGTCCTTAGTGTCCTTCCCTGTCTTCATCTTGATGATTTCACTCCTGAAACAAATAAAACTGGAGCTACACTAACCACACACACACACACTGAATAGAGCAGATTTGGTGGACTAACAGACTTTGTTGACTTTGTTGACTTTGTTGTTATAATAAATCTCCCCTGTGTTATAACTCTTAAGGGCGGCTTTGATCCCTTGTTTTTCGAACCTGAACTTCCACAGTAGTCAAACGTCTTACAAGGTAGAGATCAGTGTTGTTCTGTCTGTTACACAGAGTTTTGTCTTCTGGGGAATTTAAAAAATCAGTAGCCATTTGGTTGTGAACAGCACAGATGAAGGACTGGACTCTGACTTTAGTCAGTCCATAATTCAGTCCAGTAAGACTGGGACAGAGGAGCTGTGTGTCTGTCAGAGGACACAGTAAATAAATCACCAGCAGGATGTGCACTACATAAACAGTCTGTTTGCTGTGTTCCATACATGAAAGACACAGATGATCCTTTTATGCTCTCCTAATCATCCTTTTATCCACACGTCCTTTGTGCTGCACTGATTTGTCTGTGATCTTCCTCTTCCTTTGATATCTGATGTTTTTGTTCTCTTTTGTCCTTTCAGCTCTGTGTCTGAAGACGGTGAATCCAAACCTCCAAGACCATGCTGTCCCTCCTGCTGCTGCCACTAATGCTCGCCCTCCGCGCCACAGGTGGGTGTTGTATCCTGCTGACCGTGCTCTGCCACCACCTCCCAGTGGTCACAGTGGGGAACACCACAGCCTGTTTAACAGCGCACCCTGCAGAGCTCATTAGTCTTCACCTTTCAAAGGGTTCCCTGTGTGAAACAGCAGTTTAAAAATAATGTCAGCTTTTTGTTAAAAGGATGTTTAAAAAAAAGTTCCCTGTTGTCTGGGTTGAAACTGGTGGAGTCGACATGAAACATACAACCTGTCAAAAAAAAAAAGACATTTATTACTAAATATCTCTGTTTATTCTAGTTTCTGTAAAGGCTGATGGACCATGTGTGGGTTCTTTTCTTCTTTTTTTGAACGTGTTAGACAGAATATGTTTTTCAGCTGTGACTCTGAGAGTGTGGTTAAAAAGTCTTACACAAGTAACACTGGGGAGTTCTTAGATGCTGCTATCCATGATTCATAAGTCACATGAAGTTATACTTCCTGGTGTCCAGGAAAGAGAAGTTGTCAAGTCGACACCGATTACATCTCACAAAGAGGAAAATAAAAGAAAGAAGTTAAAAATGCCACTGGAGAGATCACCAGGACAACTACTGTTGTGGCTGACACCTAACATAAGTGACCGACTGACCGACTGACCAAAGATGGTGACTTTCTGTTGTATCGCTCCATAGCTGGAGTAGATGGAGCTCCTCTTCCTCCTCCTCCTCCTCCTTCTCCTCTTCCTCCTCTGTGTGCCTGAGGCAGAGCGTTAGAAATACTGCAGCAAACCTTTAACGTCCTCAAAGAACTTTCATTGGTCAAAACAGCATCATTTAGAACTTTTCTCCTGACACGACCTCCTGTCAGCCATCAGGACTCTCAGACTTTTGAACAGGTCATTAGGGACATTTTTGGTGCCAGCACAGACGAGCCAAAGGTCATTACTGACTGACTGCCATCTACAGGCTGACTGACTGTTCCAACAGGGACGCTTGGGGAGAAGGGGGAGGAGGGGAGGGGCAGATGGAACTTCTTAGGACAATGAAGCGAACACATTCACTGTATTCATCTGAGAAAGTGTGAGTGGAACCACACCGCACCAGGTTTTACCAACACAGAGAAGTCCGTTTGCTGTTAAATCTGTTGTTGGTTTGCACAGAGCTGCTGCAGCAGGCAGAGCAGTGGACAGCCTGGACAGTCCTCCAGTCCTTCACAGACCAAACACACAGACAGACAACCACTGACAGTCAACATTTAACCTAATCCTGTTTGTTTCTAGACTGAGTCCCAGGAGAACCCCACGTTCAAACGCCGTACAAATAGACTGGGATCAAACCAGTGACCTGTTGACCTCTGGTCAAGCACAACAGGCTGAAGAAATCAGACAAATCCTCTTCTAATGCCTGACATCTGGTCTCAGCAGCTGTGCGTCCATGTCCTTGTGGATGTCGTCCCCGTGTCTCCAGTGTTTGTCACGTGTGATCCTCCTGTGACAACACCAATTTGTGTGACGTGTGTCAGGAGTCAGGTGATGGTTGATGGTCCTCCATCCTGATACACACTGAGCCTTTTTTACCTTGTGGTAATTACAAATACCCCACATACAACATGACAGCTACAAGAACAGGACAAAGGTTGACCCAGTGACGTGTAAGGTCAAAAGGTCAAACATCACTCTCTCTGAGTTAGTGCTACATGCTCATTTATGAAACACCTTCAATATTGGACTTAAATATTGTCCCTGTGATGGACTGGTGGACTGTCCAGGGTGTATACTGCCCCCTGCTGATGACTGCTGGAGTGGACTCTGAAAGGATGAGTCTGTAGTAGTTGAATATCTTCAACATGTATTTAAATGTCACAGCAGCCCTGGCTACATTTAAACAATGCTCTGGAGCAACTGGACCACAGTGACGGCTGAGTCGTCGTACGAAGACATCTGTTGTTGAACACAGCCTGAAGATGAACAGATGGATGTGCATACGTAGACTAATTACCTGATGCTCATTATCATCAGTTATTCTCCAAAAAGTTTGAAAAATAATGGTTTTGACCAAGAATATGAAAAATGTTTTTTGTTTGTTTTCTCTTCTGTTTCTCTTCTGTTCTTCGAGCCTCTCTGTTTGAAGCAGTAGCTACTGAAGTGTGTGGAGGACTTACTCAGCCAGTCTAGGAGCTGAGTAAATTAGCACAGCGTACGTTGTGTCAGCCGGTGACGAAGCTAACAGGAGGCTGTCCAGATAATTGCCCGTTGTTGTCAGTTTTCAGCAGCGGCTGCCGCTAAAGAAGGAGGATCACATTCATGTAAATCCAGAAGTGAAAAACTGAGCCAGTTTTCACTGTGGGTAAAGGGAGTTGTAAGGTAATTCAAATTAATTGGCATAATTGGATGGATTGCATCTGATGTTGTAGTAGGCCAGCCCACATTATGGCAGGGCCACGTAGCGTGAAAATAGCCTGCTCATGGCTGCCATCTCTGGCGTACTTTTTAAAGGTCTGCTAACTGTGAATGTGCTTCCGGTCCTTTCCTTTTCACAGTCATTGATTCTGCAGCACGGCCACGCTTTAGTCTGTGCAGAAATTCAATTTAGGGTTATTACCCCGTATCACTGATGTTCTTACTAATTTGATTGCGTCCAGTGAAGTATCCTTTTAAAAACAATTGAGGATGGGCCCAACAAAGATTGGCTTCACCACAGTGCATACCTAATGAGCAGTCTGTAGCGGCTGGTCTCCGTCTCTCTCAGGTTCTCTCTTCTCTGAGTGAATTACCAAACAAGCACTTCATGACTATTTAAACACGTCCTTAAAACGCCTGCCCTCTGGGCTGGATGAAATATTGATATGGGTAATATGCAGAGAGGAGAGGACTGGAGCTAGTGAGCATGTGTTGAAGATCCACAGAGAGAGAGCTAGGGGGCGCTATCATCTATAGTGATCTGTGCATAGAAAGTATCAGTGAAACAACATTAACCTGTAGAAACAGAGGATGTGGCCACAGTGAGGTGATGGAGGTGATGGAGGTGATGGTGATGGTGGTGATGGTGATGATGGAGGTGGTGATGGAGGTGATGGAGGTGATGATGGTGGTGGTGATGGTGGTGATGGTGATGGTGATGGAGGTGATGGTGATGGTGGTTAAACTCCTTACTGCTCTGATGCTGTGACTTTTTCCTGCTTCTTTCTGACGGTGATGTCGTTAGTGAAGCCTGTGGACGACGCCATCATCTGTTGTCTGGATGTTGACGCCCATCACCCTGTCAAGATAACAGACATGTCTCTGAGGTTCAGGTCGTCCATCCTATGGTGATATATGACTCTGATGTTAACATTAATAAGTCACTGGACTGTTGTCTCCTGTCTCTCTCTCTCTCTCTCTCTCTTTCGGAGCCAGGCTGTTTAGACGACACACCAACAGCTTAGTGCTGAACATGACCTCTAGAATTTGATCAAATTGTGAGTCACAATCTCATCGCCATGACTCTGACTGATGTCTTTAAAAATGCTCCTCCAGGCAGAGACACATGGTTTAACTTGAAGGGACCAGGTGTAGGTGAAGTGAACCCTGGACAGGTCATCAAACATCGTCAACTGTTGATCTTTGTGATGTAAAGCAAGATAAATATCCACTCTTCCACTTCCACCACATGTAGACATAACCTTTTTTTAAAAACAAAATAAAAAATTTAACTTTGGCCTTGAATTCTTTCCACCAAAAAAATATAATCATGTGGGTTCACACACTTCTTCTTCAGAGATGTTCTAGTGGTGACAATTAGACGAGAAAAAAGATGTGTTTAGTTGCATTTACACTTTACAACAGCAGGGGGCAGTGTTGTAAAAGTCTAGTTTCTCCCTTCGTCTCCAGGCCTAATGAAGCCGTACCATCATTGCAGTCTGTTGGTATAGGCCAGATTATTTGTCTTATGTACAATATAACACACACACACAGATATATTTATATGTGTATATATATATATATATATATATATAAATATATATATATATATATATTATATATCTTACACTGTGCGTCTGAATATATTTTTCCGCTCTATTAAACACATGGCTCTAATAGCCGTGCTCTGTAATTAAGCTAACAGGATGATGACGTCTGTGAAGACAGATGCTAATGTTTGTGGGTGAAAATCACTGAGTTGAATTTGTGTTGTTAAATGAGTCGAAAACTCTTGGTATTGAGCTGCAAGTTGTGTTTGTACAAACGAGCGGCTGCTCATTGGCTCGTCCTGTGAATGAACCTGAGGTCAGTGGACTGTACAGATGACCTCTAGTGGCAGACATAGGTATTAGTTACTTTGACAGAAGAGGCTACTTTTCTGTCGTGACCTTTGACTGTGAGCAGCTTTAAAACAGCACCTGTGACAGTGTTGCTGTGGAGCTGTCAGTCATGCAGGTGTGGAATATCAACGTCAAACTGGATGAAACCATACAGTAGCTTGGAATGTCGTGCTTGTGTTTGGAGTTTATTGATAATGACACAATTAGCTGACTGTTCAGTCCGATGGTCAGTTATTTTACCATGTTCTGTAACTGGATACAGAAAACTGGATGTTGAAATTCAATAATAATGAAGTACAGCTCCTCTGACGTCAGTAGTAGTTTTTTTTGTCAACTCTTCTCTGTTCTGTAGAACCGTCAGGAAAAACTTGAATTCACTTGAATAGAATTATCCTTTTTTTTCTGCTGTAACCTGCTCCACAGCCAGGGGTCGTTCTTGGTTTGTCTTCCAGTATATGATGTGTTCACTGGAGTGAGGTTCAATTCCAATGTTGAGGCACTTTAGTCATAACACTTACACCGTGCTGGCAGCAAGCGTGAATAGCTTTATGCTGGGATGCTAACCTTTAGCATCTGTACCTAGTAGCAAAAGTTGAATTCTTACTGGATTGTAGATTGTTGATTGTCATCACACGTGTTCAGAGGCTGTGATCCTCCTGTGTTCTGTCTCCGTGTCGCACTCAGCCTCCACCTACTGGTGTCAAACAGGATGTATCGACACTGTCAGCGCGGTGGCTTCTGTGGAGGATGGAGCGAAGAACTCTATGAAGATCATCCTGCAGCCTTTCCCACTGAGCCCCTGTGCCGCGCTGCTCAGATAGGGAGCGGTGCCAGAGCTCACAAAGGCTGTAATGAGTTTGTTTCATGTTGGCTGTGAAAGTGCCCGTCTCTGTCTCACAGGCACTCAAACAGAGCTGCTGGCCATAAACACAAAGTGCAGTGTGTAAATCCCTGCAGCCTGACATCTCCGGGGCTGCCCTCTGTGGCTCCTCAGCGCCTCTTTATCCAGAGGTGGAGGGGAGAACTGTGATCCCCACTCACCCCCAGGAGAGTGCACCTCAGGTCTGGCTACAAGACATGACCCAGATTTCCCACCAAAAATGTCGTAAATGATTTCCCTTCACCCAAACTGCTTCATCTTTAAGGAATATATATTTTTATTCCAGCACAGAACCTGGCAGGACAGGACTGATCAGTGACTCGTCTACAGAACAGGGGTGTGGCCTAAACAGCACCAGAAAAAGGCCAAGTGGTGCTGTGGTCCGTGTTGGCTCCGAGAATCTCCCCGTGGACAAAGTAATAATAGGACAGGAGACGCCTGTGTTCCATGACGTCACCGGCCTCCTGTCCACTGGAACCTTCTCCCCTTCTGTTCTGTACCAGCAGCAGCAGATTGTTGTCTCCACCCAAATTCCATGTGAGACACCTCATCCTCCCCCACCCTGGAGTGAGAGCGTAGAGAGGTGCAGCACACTCTCTGACATGACTTTAGTCTGTGTTTAGAGATTAACACAGACTCCATCACAGCCTCTGGGCTTCTGCTGAGATATGATCTGTGAGTGTGAGCTCCACATATGCCTTTCCTTCTCCCCCTCCCTCTCTCTCCCTCTCTCTCTCTCTCTCTCTCCTTCCTCCCCCCTTCCTATATGAACTCAGTGGTGTGAGTCATCCCAGGCTGTTCAGGGAGTGATTTAATTGCTCTCTCTCCTCCTCCTCCTCCTCCTCTCCTTCTTCAACATACACATCTCAGAGGGTTGTCACTGACCCTCTTCTTGTTCACCAAAAAAAAAAGAAGAAAAATCCACTAGTGACCTGTTCAGTTTGGTGAAGATGGCGTCACTTCTAAAACAAAATAAATTAATAAAAAGAAGGGGGAGTGAGGGGCAGTGGGGGAGTGAGGGAGGGGGGCACCACAGTGTCATCAACAAACAACATGCCTGTTGTTTTCCAGGCTGATCTGCTGCAAGTTCAAATTTGGCAAAACGTGGCATTAGGGAGACCGCGCCCCCCAACGTCCCAACGTCCCTCTGCAACAGCGGAGCTTTTATAATCACAGTTTGACTGCAGGCGTCAAAACGTCTTGTGGCGCTGCCACTTGGTCCGTGACACAAAATAAAACGGTTCTCAATCCCAGTTTGGCTTCAGTCCTTGTTTATTTCTTACATTAGTGAAAAAAAAAATATTTGGCATAAATCTTCCTTTCTGTCATTTACAAAATGTCCGCGTGACCGTCCTGACTGTCCTGACCATCCTGACTGTCCAGACTGTCCAGACCGTCCTGACTGTCCTGACCGTCCTGACTGTCCAGACTGTCCAGACTGTCCTGACTGTCCTGACTGTCCTGACCATCCTGACTGTCCAGACTGTCCAGACTGTCCTGACCCCAACCCTGGCCTGACCGTCCAGACTGCCCTGACTGTCCTGACTGTCCTGACCATCCTGACTGTCCAGACTGTCCAGACCGTCCTGACTGTCCTGACTGTCCTTACCGTCCTGACTGTCCAGACTGTCCAGACTGTCCTGACCCCAACCCTGGCCTGACCGTCCAGACTGCCCTGACTGTCCTGACTGTCCTGACTGTCCTTACCGTCCTGACTGTCCAGACCGTCCTGACCGTCCTGACCATCCTGACCGTCCTGACTGTCCTTACCGTCCTGACTGTCCAGACTGTCCAGACTGTCCTGACCCTAACCCTGTCCTGACCGTCCCGACTGTCCTGACTGTCCTGACTGTCCTTACCGTCCTGACTGTCCAGACTGTCCAGACTGTCCTGACCCTAACCCTGTCCTGACCGTCCAGACTGTCCTGACTGTCCTGACTGTCCTGACCGATCAGGCTGTCCTGACTGTCCCTACCCTAACCCTAACCGTAACCCTGTCTTGACTGTCCAGACTGTCCTCACCGTCCAGACTGTCCTGACTGTCCTGACTGCATTTCTGCTGTTCTCTCTGTGCGTTTGTGAGGTTGAGCAGTAGGTGGCAGTGTTTCTACAGCAGTGGTTTCCTTATTTGGTGCTGCCTCCACTGAGTAAACCACATCCAGTGCAGGACTTTCTGTTGTTAATAGATGAAGTCATTATTGCACCTGCGCAGAAGTCAAACTGTCTTCATGACCATGTGATCCATGTGATGGACAGAGGTCAAACAGAGGTCAAACAGGGTGAGGGGCTGAAGTGCCACTGTGATTATAACAATTAGAGAGGCTGAGTGTGGACTGTGTTGCCCCAGGAGCCCCGGGGGCTTTTCTTTTTTTTTTTTCCTTTTCCCCTGTGATGCTGATGAATGTCTCAGAGCTGTGGAACAGCAGACAGGGATTCATGGGGAATGCTGACTGTTGGGAACACTGGGAATGGCTGCTGATCCAGAACCATGCCATGGTCCTGCTCTGGTCCAAGCTGAGGTGAAAAGAGTCCCATACTAAACAGATATGGGGCTAACTTTTATGAACAACATGAGCGTGCGTCAGCCACTGGTGTTTCAGTTCCTGCCCTGTAGAAACCCAGCTGCAGTGACTGCAGTTACAGTTGGTTCTTTCAGATTCAGATGAATATAAATTAGAACCAGTTGGAAAATCGAAATATTTACTCCAGATTTACACTCCGTTTGGTAAACAGTGCTTTAGTATTTTTCCCTCCAGATTATTTTCCAGTTTGTGTATTTTGGATAAATCCGACCCAGAAATGCTCTTCCTTTGATCCCACCACTAGATTGGACTAAAAACAAACCAGAGCTGCAGAGATTCCCACTCCTGACTTTCACTGATCCTAATCCTTACGTCCACATCCTCCCATTCTTCCCACTTCTCTTCCTCCGGTCTCCTCCAGCGCCACCTGCTGTGCTGCACAAACACAACAACAACCACTCACATGAGTGTAGGTGTGAGTCTTTGAACGCAGCATATTTAATTACCCCTGTGATTTAGGAAATATTACGTGTGTGTGATTTATACATGTGTGTGTGTTTATATGTATAAATATATGTATGTGTATCTATATTTATATATATTTTGTTTGTATAAATAATGTATGGATATGTACTGTATATAAGTATACAGTTTTAAAGAATGTTTTAATGTAAGTAATCACTCACACACATGGATTCATTTGGACGAGTCATAGTTAACGGAGATAAATCCACCTGTTTGTCTGGATGTTACTAGAACACAGCGTGTGCATGTGCAGTGACTAATCTTAATTATAGAATTATTAATAGAGAGAATATTATAATATATAATATGTTTGTTTGTTTACGTCTGTTCTGTGCACCCTGGTGGTGACACGTAGAACTCGTGCTTTTAAAACATCAGTGAATTCCCTTTTCATCGGTGGATGATCAATATGAAGTGGTCGACAGTTCCTGGAAACACATTTGTAAACTGTGTCTATTGTTGAGTTTGTACTGGTCACCAGGTTCTGACAACCGGTGCTAACAGTATCACTGTACTGACGCGTACTGACGCTTACTGACATGTACTGACATGTACTGACGTGTACTGACGCGTACTGACATGTACTGACATGTACTGACGCGTACTGACATGTACTGACGCGTACTGACGAGTACTGACGCGTACTGACGCGTACTGACGCATACTGACGCGTACTGACGTGTACTGACAGACGGCTGCAGTCGTTTCATCTCCTTCTCTCATGTGATTCGTTTTCAGCTCAAATGGAGGTTGAGGTTCCGTCCCTGCCCCAGGTGGCGCTGCACGGCCGGGATGCCGTGCTGAACTGCTCCTTCAGCCACGTCAGCCCCTTCAACCTGTCACACCTGAGCGTCTTCTGGCAGCTGACCGACACCAAACGTAGTGTCCACAGTTACTGGGGGGGGCGAGACCAGCTCACGGACCAGGCCGATCGCTTCGCCAACCGCACCAGACTGTTCCCCGACCGGCTGGCCCTGGGCAACGCCTCGCTGCTGCTGAAGGAGGTCGTGGTGGCGGATGAAGGAAGCTACACCTGTTTTGTCCGGGTGCAAGATTACGGCAGCGCTGCTCTGCTCCTGCAGGTGGCAGGTGAGTCAAAGGTCATGTGACCAACAGTGCATGCGTGGCTCGTTTGACAGGTTATTTGTAAGTTCTGAGGTTGTTCAGAAGTTTCATCATGAAGTGTTTCTCAATCCACAGAAAAAAAGAATCGTTTTGAAAATTTAGACCAAACCTGAAGGTAAACCAACAAGATTGACGCAGACGTTTGGATCTAGTTCCACCTGAAACAACATCTGAATGGAATTCAATTTCACTCACAAGGCAAAGCAGACATTTGTGACCTGGGGTTAAAGGTCAGGTCACGACCTGGAGACATTACATAAGAAATGTTTAGACCTTAATGGAGGAAATGAAGGAAAAAAGTAACACTTTGGTCAATTTCATGATTATTTTTTAAAACACCCCCCCCCCACCCCCCCCCACCTCCCGCCGACGCCCACCC